ATAATGTCCCCAGGGTCACCCATTTTGTATAATGTTTCATAAGTTCCTAGTTTTTCAATGCAGCATAGTATTCCATTGTGTGGATATACCAAAGCTTCTCTAGCCATTTGTTTGTTGATGGACACGTGGATTGTTTCAAGCTCTTTGCTATTGTGAACAAAGCCACAATTAACATGGGTGTGTGTGCATATATCTGCTTGGGTGGCCTTTATGGTTTTTTAAAAGGTTTATTTCCAGTAGTGGAATTTCTGGGTCAAATGATAATTCTAGATCTTCACCCTGAAACCCACAGCGTCCCTTTTCAGCAGGAAGTAGCTAAGAGAATACGCCATCCCCTTTTCCTTATGACTCAGGGTGAAGTCTCTCTCAGGGAGGAGTGAGAACTGGCTTTGACAAGCACTGTGGCATTTGGACAAGAACAAACTGGGAGGAGGGTAGAGAGAATAGTGCAGCAATGAATGAATGGAAACCCAAAATCTCTGTAAATGTTTATGAAAATTAATAAAATATAATTATAGAAAAAAAAGATAATTCTATTTGCAACTTTTTGATAAAGCGCAGTCCAGCCTTACATAGTGGTTGCACCATTTTACACTTCCACCAACAGTGAATAAGGGTTTCAGTTTCTCCGCAACCTTGCCAGCATTTTTTGTTTGTTGTTCTGTTAAATTTTGCTATCCTTGCTGGGGTGAGAGGCTATTTCATAGTTGTTTTGATTTGCATCTCTCTTAGAGCTAAGGATTTTGAACATTTCTTCTTGTGTTTGTTGGCCATCTGAATGTCTTCTTTGGTGAAGTGTCTGTTTATATCCTGTGCCCATTTTTCAATTGGGTTGTTTACCTTTATCTTATTGTGTTGCTTGTGTGTTTTAAAAAGTCTAGATATCCCTATACACATTCAGAAACTTCTCCAGCAGGGTAAAAAAGGAAGCCACAGACTGAGAAAACTATTTGGTAATGATATGTCCTCTTCCCAGTTTTAACTCTCTAACATAAGCATTTCAACCAGTAATCTAGGTTAGAAGAGCAGTAAATATTCTCAAGCCTTAAAAGAAATAGTTTAAGCCGTTCTCTTGGATTCCTGACACTTCCCAAGTAAAGTGATCATCTCGAATATCTAAGGAAGATTTCACATCATGTTTGTTTCTTTTCCTAGACTTGTTGTGGTTGTTGTTTAATTTTCTTCTGCAACTTGAGGCTGGACTGGTTCCTTGCTCTTTTCTTTCTCAAACACAGTGAATGAAAACACGTGATAGTAATGGTGAACGTCCGAGATGGCTTTGCCACTAGAAGGCTTCTATTTATGAGAAAGAAAATGTCTAAAACTGTTCAATCTGAATAAACTTCTTAACTTCCATCATTCTATCTAAAGACTAAAGAAAAAATAAAGGTACAGTAAAAGTCTAGTTGTCATCAAGTTGAGCTCATGGCAAACCCATGAGTGTCAGAGTAGAAATGTACTGTTTTTAGTCGCTGAGTTTTCAGATAAGGAACACCAAGCTATTTTTAAAAATCTTTTATTTGAATAAAAGTTTACAGCTCATATTCCTTTTTCATACAAGCGTTCGTAGACATGACTGCAGGATCATCCTTCACAGGTTCCTCAGGTGGACTTGAAACATCAACCTTCTGTCCAGCAGCTGAATGTGTGAACTGTTTCCAACACCCAAGGTCTCCAAGTGCATAATAGGTAGGAAGACCTTAAAGATGCCTGACTCTGGCCAGGTTCAAGTTCTAAACAGATTAAAATGTGAACCTGGACCAATTAAACCAGAATCTCCATGGAAAGCTTTTCTCATCTGGAGATTACATAAGGCTGTATAACCCCATGGCGGGTGGGAATCTCACGTATGAGGACTCTGGCAAACTTTTCAGTTGAAGAAGCTAAGGTCCCCATGGTACTAAAACCAAGAAGATGAGAAGCAGATGTTTTGTTTGTATTTGGGGGGAAAATAGAGCTATTGGAACCAGGAAGCCAATAGAATGCATAGAATTAGTACTTGGGGTAAATAATTGATGTCAGAAGTAGTGGACACTTTGGGCAAATGGGTGCCATCTGTGAACAGGGACAAGAAGGAGAACCATCCACTAAACTGTGAACTCTCCATGACATCATCTCATTAGCCCAGACTCCCACTGCGAGCCCCACCCAGAGAAGGAGGCCACAAATAAGTCCCCACCTTCCAAACAACAGACCTCCTCCATATTTCATTTCAAGGAGAGAGGACTTTCTAGTAAATCTACCTTTACTTTTTCACCTTCACGTCCGCCTCCTCATTTCTTTTCTTCTCATCCCTGTGCTCTACTAAAAAGCTTCAGCTTACACTTAAACGCTCCCTGCCCTGAAGTCTGCTCTCCCAAGAAACCCTAAAATTGCTGCACACTGTTCTAACTATCTCAGTACTCAGGCACTGCCCCCTTCCCTCGTCTTTTCTGCCTGGCACAGTTCTTTCTGCCCATGTGAGAAGGGTGAACTAGAGCATCGACCGCATGGTAACAACAGCACTGCCAGGCACACGCAAAGAAAGAACTCCGTCTTCCTGGCCCTCCCTCCTGTGCAAATGCTGTTGCTTTCAAAGTTTGGGTAGATTAAAAAGTTGAAAAAGGAAATTGCACTTTAGATTTCTCTTCATTCTTTCTGGGTTCCATTATTAGATGGTTCTTTTGTTCTGTGGAAAAGTCAGTCCTTCAGTACAATCAGAAGCCCCCTAAGAATTTAATGGCAGCTCTAACGGCGGGTCCTACCAAGCACCTTTTTGAGTGCATTCTTTTGCAACATCTTCCAAACTTCTCTTAGAGGTTTTTTAAGCACTGTCTTTATAGTTTTTGCCAAATCTACATACCATCTGTTCAGCCATTAATGTAATATCTTTAAAGTCCTGTCTCCTTCAGCTTTGTCCTATGCTATAATATCTATGAAACCATGATGTGCCAGTTACTTTAAAAAAGGTACACATTATATAATTGTTGTTGTTATCTGCTGTCGAGTTGCTTGTGACTCGTAGCGACCCTATGTACAGTAGCTCTGGACTCTTCTCTGTCTTGTGCCAACCTTATTGTCACTGGTCCACCTACCCCCATTGCCCTAATCACTGAATCAATCCATCTCATTGAGAGTCTTCTCTTGTGCTGTCCCTCCACATTCCCAAGTATGATGTCCTTCTTCAAGGACTGGTCACTCCTTGCAACATGCCCAAAATATGTCAGACGAAGCTTCAGAATCATTGCATACAAGGAGGAGCCTGGTTTTACCTTCTCCGGGATGAACCTGTTTGCTCTCCTAGCAGTCCATGGTATATTCAATACTCTTCTCCAGCACCATAACTCAAAGGCATCAATTCTTGTTCTATCATCATAATTAAGTAACTATTATAAAAATGTCATCTAAGTTTCTTTCATACTATTTCCCATATATGATATTCTTTTTTTAAATTATTTTTTTCACATGTTATTTTCTTATATTCTATTTCAATATGTTCTTATACAGGTGACTATGTTGTTATATATGATTGTATGTTGTTATATATGTGAGTATGTTGTTATATATGTGAGTCTGTTGTTATGTATTTCAATATGTTCTTATACTCTCACTATATAGGAACCCTGACGTTCAGGTGAATAACTGAACCCAGGTTAGGTAAGTAACATCTCAAGAACCACGTCCAAGCCTGACTGACTCCAAAGACCGGGCTCTTAGGTCACGCTCTGATCCCAGGGATGTTTGGTTTTGTTAGTCAATTTTGCCAGATTCATAAGCATATTTTAACCTGTGGCTGAGTGGAAGAAGTTTGGCCGGAAGAAACTGATACAGCAACAACAGCACTAAAGCCCTTTTTATCTTCATGCTTTCATTTTGATGAATCTCTAATTGACGGAGAAACTGAAGCAGTGGGGTCTAACATCTGTTCATCACTAGTTAACACATTCAACACTCGCTGTACGGGTATTGTATTGGCTTGAACCTTTTGAAAGTAAGTAGTAGGGAATACGTCATTGCACTCTTGCCCAGCTCTGCACATTATTATGAAGAACAAAGACGGTCTACTACATAATTACAAGACTGTTAACATGTTCCAGAATATAACATTGATATACACTAACATTAATATGTATGCTCATATTAGTATACTTGTCACCTATGTCTATATCTAAATATAACAACAGAACAAACCTGTTGCCATCAAGTTATTTGGACTTCCAATGATATTATAGGTTGGGATAGAAACCCCAGAGGGTTTCCAAGACTGTAGTTGTTACGACTTTAAAGGAGCAGGCTGCCACATCCTTCTCTCTCAGAGCTTCTGGGAGGATTGACCTGTCAATCTTCCGGTTATCACACATCTATGATTAGTTTCCCCGCTTGTCTTAATACTATCTCTCTTCTAGCTGTTTCCTCTCCTTTTATCAGCTCCAGCTTGAGATCACTCATTGTATTAGTTATCAGATCTTCTCACTATTCTTTAATCTAGAACAGATCTTCCACCTCTTTTGTCTGTCATACACTGACATCTTTGAGGAATTCAGATCATTTGCCATGATTAGCTTCAAGTTAAACTGCCTTCTTTGACTTTTGGAAAGGCTGGTCGTTCAAGTCCACCAACCACTCTGAGGGAGTACGATGAGGCAATCTTTCCCTGTTAATAGTTACAGGCTCAGAAAACGAGGGCAGGATTACCAGAAGGTGGAATAAATTTGCTGACAGTGGGTGAGTGGGTTAGTAATAGGGTTCTGCAGAATTATGTGAGAAAAAGTAATGCAGATGAGTAAAAATTACAGCAAAATATCTTTAAAACCTAACAATTACTGAGTATGAGATTGGATTTGATTTTCTTTTTTTTTTGTGTAGCTAAGGGGACTATTAAATGACCAGGTAAGAAAAGAGAAGTAGCTTAGATTTGGGGTGGCTGCACCCAGCATCCCTCTATACATCCATTGATTGAAATGGATTTTCCTACATATTTCTTCAAAACCAGATTAAAAATGAGCACAGTGTTGCTTTACCTTGTCCTCTGACATTTTTACGGGCTGAGTCCTCCTCCTAAACGCAGGCCCCGCAGAGGTCCACACAGCGGCTGACCAGCCCTGCCTGTGCCGGCCTTGCTCTGCAGGATCTAGTTATACAATGAGTGACTGGGAGGAGGAGCAAGGTGAGGTAGCAGGAGTGCGAGCGAGCACGGGACCCCGCGAGCTTACAGCCAGGCTGCGCGCTGATGGGCATCTAATCAATATGGGCTTTGCCCCAGCGACCTGTGACTTCAGTGCCTTTGCTCCACCGGGAGGGAAGATGTGAGGAGCTCCTGCAGGTCTAAGTTACAAACCTGAGGCTGTCTCATCTGAAGGCTCACTTTCAGTATGACAGCAAGTGGTGAGGTGAAGAAAACTATCTGGGGTCTTTGGTGGGAGGTGAGAGAGGCCGGCCTGTCATGCTGTGTGGGGAGGGGGTCAGATACAGCTGGGGCCCGGGGAGCACACCTCACTGAGAAGCGGCTGGGGTGTGTGCGCGCTGCCAAGCTGGACGGTGCTGCAAGAGACCGCTCTGGGCTTGCGTGCATGAGCTTTGGAGTGTGGTGGACTTCACTTCGCATCTTAACCTTTGATCATTCATGGTATGTCCATACACAAGCTGATTACTGTGACTTTTCTGTGGCTCTGACATTCACCTGCCCCTTTCCACCTCATAAGGAAAGCATTATGCTGGGTGAACTAACTCAGTCCCATAAGGATAAATATTGTATAAAACTATTATAGAACGAGTATAAGGATCCAGGAGGGGTGGGAGAGGCTGGAAGCAGAGGGATGTGGATGTGTAGGGGGAGGGGGATTAATCACTGGGTTGTACAATTTGATGGGGGGGGGAGTGAGGGAAATTGAAATCATTTGTTCGAATTTGTATTAGAATTTTATAAATAAACTAGTAGAAAAAATACATCTTAAAAAAAGAATTATTCACACACACACAAAAAGAAAATAAGAGAACAATAATAAATGAACATATTTATATTAACTCTGACACACAGTGGCCTGTAGGTAGTAGCTTACACTATTATTGTTTATTATTGTTTCATTTATTCTTATTCTTAAGTTGTTGTTGTTATTGCTGTTGTTGCTGTTATGTGCCGTTGAGTTGCCTGCAACCCATAGTGACCCTATGTACAGCAGCTCTGAAGCCTGCCCTGTACTGAGCCAGTCTCATTGATTATGACACACCTACCCCCATTTGCCCCAGTTACTGTATCAATCCATTTCTCTGGGTCTTACTCTCCAGTTTAATTATTACCTATTTATTAATTATTATAATATTATAGGTTGCTAGAAGGGGCCAATGTAGCATGCACACATAAAACTGTTCACATAGTTTGAGCAGTTTGAATCCACCAGATGTTCTGCTGGAGAAGGAGGGGCAATCTCCTACTGTACCAGTCAGATCTGATTTGATGGTACACACACACACACAAATAAAATAAAAAAATTTAAAAACCTGTTCATATGGTTTGAGCTTAAGTCTGATTGTGTGTCCTGTGATATACAGTCACTGTGGGGGCCCCAGCCAATACAAAAACTGAGCTTCAACTACTCAGCGACTTGAGTGACACTGCACTCGGCCTCCAAGGGGACTCAGTGTTCCCAGCAGAGGAAATATAACCACGCAGCAAAAAGAAGGGTTCTTTGAAGAAGAGGGCGAGGAAGTGTAGGGGTGGAGGAGACTCATTCCTTCTATTCTTCATTTCGACCAGTTCTGTGTTGCCAAGCTCTACACCTCAGTGGCTTGATCGGAAACAGTAAATGATTCCACGGAAGACACACTTTCACAGAGCTCAGCAAAGTCCCCAAGCTCTGTGAAGCATGAGATAAATAACACAGCTTCCCCTTCTTGGAGTTCAGTCACAAAAACTGATGTATGTGAAGACTACACACAAACCCAGAAGACACTGGAGTGAATCGGACTCACAGTGACCCTGAAAGACAGCGTGACGCTGCCCCCAGGGTGTCCAAGGGAGTAAATTCTTACAGAAGCAGCAACCTCCTCTTCCACCCTCTATGGAGAGGCCAGTGGGTTCCAACAGTTGACCTTTTGGCTAGCAGCCCAGGACTCTTGATCTCAGCGCCACCACTTTCTCCACACTACACAGCGAAAAAGGCATTCTGATAGAGTCCCTGCCAGGTGCCAGGTGCTGTCCTCAGCACTTTGCATGGACTGACTCTCCTGGTCACAGCAGAGGTACGCGACAGCTGTGACACCAGCCTGCCCCGCGTCCCCAGGACCTCGCTGAGTTGTTTGCAGCACAGCCAGAGGCCTTGTGGCTCAGCTGGGCGTCCCCGGGGCGCGCGCACATCTGCCCAGCCTCGCGTACCTGCCCAGCCGCGCGCATCTATCTGCACAGCCGCGCGCGCGCATCCCATCCCTCAGCAGGCGCTCTCAGGAATCAGAGCAAAGACCCCCGCGGGAACGAGTCTCTGTGCGCTCTCAGCAACAAGGCGCTCCCGGCAGCAACCTTTGTCTTTTGAACCATCTCTTAGGTGGAATTTGCCTTGAGTGTGGTGCGGGGTGGGTGAGTCTTTAACTGGGCACTGCTCGTTCCGAAGGGGCGGGGAGAGGCTGGGTTTAGTGACAGGCCTGTTGTTCTCTGGAGCAGAAATGAAGCTTTTCCGTCCATCAGTTAGAGAAGATCTACAACTTTAGCTCCGGAGCGGGGAGGTCACGGGGAGGGTTGATTAAGGATTCATTTATGCTGAGTGCATTCAGCAGCCGGCAGAGAAATTAGACTTGAATTTGGAGAGCGCGCACCAGAGCTGCTCCGGGTCTTCGCCTTTCTGGCAATGGGAGTGTAGATGCTGTTTCCTCATCGAGTTGCAACTCACTATTCTCAGAGACAGTTAGTTATTCGCCCTGGAGGTTACTCATCAATTGCTGGGGGATTTGCCAGCGCAGGTCTTGCCCACTAGGCTGCCGGTGCTCACTAGCAGTGGGCCAAGGCTCCCCAACAATGGGACAAAGCTCCCCAGGAGTGGGACAAGGCTCCTCAGCAGTGGAACAAGGCCAGGCTGTTTGCCATTACTGTGAGGCTGGGGAACAGGCGCACCGGGATGGGCAGTACCCCGGAGGAAAACCGGACCTGTGCTGGCTCCTCCGGCTTTAGGTCGGATTCTGATCACTTCATTCGTGAATTAATCCCTACTGTCGTCACATGTGGTGGAGTCAGAACCCACTCATAACTGTCCCTTCCGAGGATTTTCAGAGTGTACATTGCAGGGGAGGCGGTTGCTCCCGCAGAGCGGCTGGTAGATTCCATCCACTCGCTTTTAGATTGGCGCAACTCCTTCCCAGTAGACAGAACTCCCTTCAATGGGGAGCTCTCGGGGCTTTTTTAATTGCCTAGTCTAAATGGCGCTACAGTCAACACTTGCTACCAGCAGCCAGGAAATTAAAAGACACATTGCCTTGGGAAAGTCTGCTGTCAGAGACCTCTTCAAAGTACTGAAGAGCAACGATATCAGTCTGGAAAATAAGGTGCGCCTGATGCAGGCCGTGGTCTTTGCAATTACTTGCTATGCATTAGAGAGCTGGACAATGACTAGGGAGGATAGAAGGAGAATTGATGTCTTTGAGCTGTGGTGCTGGAAAAGAGTACTGAATATTCCATGGACTGCTAGGAGAACAAACAAGTTTGTCCTGGAGAGAGTGAGACCAGGCCGCTTCTTGGAGGCAAGGATTCTGAAGCTTCGTCTGGCATACTTTGGACGTGTTGCAAGGAGGGACCAGCCCTTGGAGAGGGACGTCATGCCTGGGAGTGTGGAGGGGACAGTGCAGGAGAGAAAACCCCTCTATGAGATGGATTGATTCAGTGACTGGGGTAATGGGGCTGCTGTGTCAGAAACAGTAAGATTGGCACAAGATAGATCAGGGTTTAGGGCTGTTGTACATATGGTCACTGTGAGTGGCAGGCAACTCGCTGGCACATAACAACAACAGCAAAATGGAAAGAAAGAAACGCAGTCTCTTTCACATGGTGCATTCCTCTCTGTTTGGGTCAAGTGTGCTACTTGTAAAGGCATCTCTAAAGAATCAACTGCCAACCTAAAGGCCGGACATTCAAATCCACCAGCTCCTCTGCTGGAGAAAAGTGGGCAATCTCTTTCCCCGTTGTTTGCTGCCTCAGAGAACCAGCAGGAGGGTAGAGGATGAGTGGGTTCCAAATCCAAGGCAGTGACTGATTGACGGACTGAAATAACAACAGCAACAAGAATGACTTCATACAGAACAAGCTGGAGTGAGTGTTCAAAGCTCCCAAGTCCTAGTGAAGATCATTACGTTTGAGAGTTTCTGAGCCAAATTTGTCTATCGCCCTACTATAGCCTGCCAAAGAGAGATGGCAATTTCTCCCCTCCTCTCCTGCCCCTCCCCAGCTCCCTCTCTGGCCCAGCCCAGGATCTCTTCTGAGCGTGCCACACCGCCTAGTCTGTCTCCCTGCTCGTTCTTACTCTACAACCCTTCCTTTGTTTACCCTTTCCTTTCACCTAACTTCATCTCTTTATTAATTCTTGCTTCCCTCTCCCTAGCTTCTCATTTCTGTGAGCCCTGCATGATTGACTCTATATCAATATTTCTATCGCTTTTTTATATTCATGATCTTTTACTTTCATTTTCCTTTTGTGTCTGTCACTCAGCATCATCTGTTCTAGATTCATCCATGTTGTGCAGTATTTCACACAATCCTGATAATTTTTGGCAATAACATAATACTCCATGTGTCAATGTACAGTGTTATAGCTATTGTTTATTGATGGACAGTTGAGTAGCTTCTAATTCTTTGCCTGAACAGTGCTACGTTAAGCATGTATGTGAGCATGGCATTTTGTGTTGCCGCTCCTATTTCTTTGGTGTGTATACCTAAAGATTGCCAGATCAGATGGCTTTTCTACTCCCAACTTTCTAAGGAAGAGTGTCAAACTCCTTTCCATCATGGTTGCACTATTTTACATCCCCACCCGCAGCATGTGAGAGTTCCAATCTTTCC